GGTGGGTTATCGAATTCCCTTCGGCCCATGCAGCAAGCGTCCCTGGGCTGTGGGTCATAGGCCTTTCATGATGTCCGCTGGGATGTCGAGGGGGGCCTCTCCTGTTTTTTTCTGGGAGGGGGGGGGCCTCCTGGGGGCCTCTCGGGGCGGGGGACTCTGATTTTTGGTGTCTTGGGCCCCGGACCGATTCTCAAGCCACCCGCTTCTCGGGCCTCCAGGGGCGCAACACGAGGCGGGGCGACTCTTGGAGAGCCCCGCCGGACAGGCGCCACCCGCCGCGGCGGCCGCGGCCGTCGCCGCGGAGCCGTCCGCCCCCCCGGCCGAGGGGGCGGCCGAGCCGGCCACGCAGGCCGCGGTCGGGCAGTACATCCGTCGGCGGCGAACGGGGGGGGCGGGGAAGGCGGAAGGGGCCGGACGAGGACAACTTCTCCCCCCCCTCCTCCTCCTCCCTCCCCCCCCCCCCCCCCCCCCCCTCCCCCTCCTCCTCCCCTCCTACCCTCCTCCCTCCTCCTCCTTCCCCCCTCCTCTCCTCCTCTCCCTCCTCCTCCTCATCCTCTCTCCTCCTCTCCTCCTCCCTCCTCCTCCTCCCTCTCCCCCTCCTCCCCCCCCCCCTCCTCCTCCTCCTCTCTCCTCCTCTCTCCTCCTCCTCCTCCTCCTCCTCCTCCATCCTCCCTCCTCCGCCTCCTCCTCCTCCTCCTTCCGTTCCAGAACGTTCCGGAGCGCTGTCGGAGCGTTCCGGAGCGTTCTGAGAAGGCCGTTTGCTGAGAGGCTGTCCGAGAAGCTTGCTGCCTCTTCGGGGGAGGCTCAGGAAACTTCTCAGAGGGCGAGGGGACTTGCAGCAGGGGCTCGACCACAGGGAACTTTCCGCAAGGAACCCAGCCCAGAGACCCCAGGACGTCCATTGATGTTAGGTGTGGGAACGTCACACTTTCCATAGCAAAACCATCGAAGCCCAAGAGGCCCAGGGCACCCTGGAGGCAAGCAGGGTGTTTCTAGGCATGGGTCTTCACTGTACGAGCCTTCTGCCAGCCCCTTCTCGCTTCCCCCCGGGCTCGCCGCCGACATCTGGCCACGAGGCAGAGGGGCCCGGAGGGGAGGGCCAACCTTCGGGGGGGATTGCCTCCGCAGGGGTTCGGTAGTTCTTCGATCGGGCACTGGGAGATTCTAGGCCTCCTAGATGGGGTCGGAGCAGATGGGGTCGGAGGAGATCGCGCCGCAAACGCCGAAGCATCGGCGAATCGGCTCGATGTGGATCCCGTGTTTCCCCACGCCGACGTCACTGATGCATCGCCGAGATCGCCGATGCATCGCCGATGTGACCCTTCGACCCCATCTATCGGGTGTGGACAGAACCCCTAACAGTGACACGTCGATTAGTGAATTGTTCGTTTTCGGTTCTCGAGAGGGCGCCGTGGCCGCTATTTTCCAGGCTTGCGCCCGCCAGGTTTGGGCCTCGGGTTGTTTTCACTAAACCACGTTTTACTAAAGGGGGGTCTGTCCATCCCGATATTCGGACCCATCTAGGAGGCCTCTAGAGAACGCCCGCCCAGACAGGGCGACCGCGGAAGTCTGCACGGGTTCACACGGCATGTGCATACCGAGTGTGCCGGTAGAGTCCCTGGTCGGTTTCGTCACGTGTGTCTCGCCAGGTGCATTCGCTTCTTTTTTGGATTTTGCTTCCTCACCAGCACAGTGACTCTGCCGAGCCACCGGCGCGCAAAAAGTTGTGCATTTCGGACGTCGCTGAGTGATGCCGCTTGGGTGCACTGGGAGTGCGGTGCCGCGCGTACCCGTGGAGCGTCCTAGTCGCGCTCGCTGAAGGGCGTGTTGCTGAAGGGCGTTCTTCAGGAGGGGAAAAAAACACACAGACACAATTAATCGGCGATTCCTAGAAAATATGGGAAAATATGGGAAGTGGGGGGAAGACAAAAACCCAGAAAATATAGCAAAACATGGGGGATATGTTTATTTGTGCGTATTTATTTGTGTGTCCCAGTTCCCCTTCAGTTCTGTCATTCCCCAACGCTGGAGATCTGACGTTCTCAACCGTCTTCGAGCCGCGGGGGGGGGGGTCCACCACCTGCGCCTCGTCGAGGGGGTGTCCAGATCGTTCCGAACGGCCGTCGCAGGGCCGAGCTGTGAGGCAGACCTTCGCGGAGGGCAGCGTTAGGGCAGGAGGGGCACCGGAGGTCGAGGTGGAAGGTTTGGGAGCTTTCGTTGGCTCTCCTTGGTTCTCGCTGGCTTCAGGAGGGAAAGAGACACACAGACACAATTTGATCGGCGATTTCCCCTTCAGCTCTGTCGCTCCCCACTGCTGGAGATCCGACGTTTTCGACCGCTCTCGAGCCGCGGGGGGGGGGTCCGCCACCGGCGCCTCGTCGATGGGGGTGCCCAGATCGTGCCTCGAGCGGCCGTCGGAGGGCCGAGCTGTTTCGAGGCAGACCTTCGCGGACGGCAGCGTGAGCCAAGGCCAGGCTGACGGCGATGTTGCTCAACGGTACTCCAGATTTCGTAATAGAAGGGAGGGGGTCTCATTTCGGGGGGGGTCTCTTCCGGGCTATCTTGGAGGGCCTGGGGGGGTCTGGGGACGATGTTTTGGAGGGTTCTCCCACGGGGGGGGGTCTAAAACTTCTCGTCTGGGAGGGGTGAGACCCCCTCCCTTTTATTACGAAATCTGGAGTAATGTTCGGAACCAAAGTGTAGGAAACCACGAAACACACTTTCCCACATTTCCACTCTGCGAATGGATCGAGCGAACACGACACAGCGAGTTGTAGGAAAGCTCGAACCACGCGCTCCCGCAATACAGAAAGCTACACCGCCGTTACCTACATCGCCATTAGCCCGTCTACGGGTGAGGGCAGGAGGGGCACCGGAGGTCGAGGTGGAAGGTTTGGGAGCTTTCGTTGGCTCTCCTTGGTTCTCGTTGGTTTCAGGAGGGGAAGAAACACACAGACACAATGAATCGGCGACTTCCCGGAAAATATGGGAAAATATGGGAAGTGGGGGGGAAGACAAAAACCCCCCAAAATATGGGCAAATATGGGGAATCTTTATATTTGTGTGTATTTATTCGCGTGTCTCAGGGCCCTTTCATGGTTCTCGGGATGCCCTCCAGCGGCTGCGCCTCGCCGCCCACGTCGTCCCGACCGGTCACCGGGGAGCCGAGCTCCGACCGGAGGCCCACGGGGCAACGCTATGCGGGGGGACAGGCTCAGTCGGGAGCGGAAAAGAGGGGGGTGATGACTAGGGGGGGCGGGGATTTCATGGCGCGGGCCATGATTTTTCCCCAGATTTCATGGCGCCTCCTCTCATGTCCTTACGTCCCAGGCCCCCCCGCTGGGCCGCGCACGTGCCGCCGGTCATGATTCGCACCCCCCCCTCTTGGACACCCCCCTCTTGGCCGCTCCCGGCTCAGGGGGGACGCACCGGCCCCCAATCGCCCGCCGATCGCAGAGGGGGGCCTGAGAGCGCCCGCCCCGCCCACGGATGCATGGCTCCGCTGTCCTGCCAGCGATGTGCAGTCGGGGCCCTGAAGAAGGAACCCTTTTGGTTGGGGAAGGGCTCCGCGTTCCCTAAGTGTTTCACAGCTTGTCTTGGGTTTCCTTAGGTTTTCGATGGGAAATCGAAGTTTAACTTAATGGAGGATGATGATTAAGAAATGACCAGGGGTCGTGTTCACGCGGCGGCGCCCTGGATGATGATTAGAAAAAACCGGGCCGGGCTAGGAAACAAAAAAAAAAAAAAAAAAAAAAAAAACGTCCTCGGGCGCGCGCCCCCCCCACGGTGGAAGTTTCCCTGAGCTTCGTCACAGGGTAGCTCTGCCTGTGTGGTCGTCACAGGCGGGCGCTTTCTTTGACCCTCATCAAGAGCGCTACCTGCGTGGTCGTCACAGGCGTGCGCTTTCCTTGCGCCTCGTGACAGGGGAGCGCTGGCTGTGTGGTCGTCACAGGCGGGCGCTTTCCTTGCGCTTCGTCACAGGGGAGCGCTGGCTGTGTGGTCGTTGCAGGCGGGCCCTGTCTTTGAGCCTCGACACAGGGGAGCCCTGCTTGTATGGTCGTCACAAAGGCGGGCCCTCTACTCATTCAGATTCCAAACAAGGGGACCCTGCCTGTGTGGTCGTCACAGAAGCGGGCCCTCCACTTGCGCCTCGTCACAAGGGAACGCTGCCTGCGTGGTCGTCACAGGCGGGTGCTTTCCTTGCGCCTCGTCACAGGGGAGCGCTGTCTGTGTGGTCGTCGCAGGCGGGCCTTTTTTGTTGAGCCTCGACACGGGGAGCCCTGCTTGTGTGGTCGCCGCAGAGGCGGGCCTTCTGTGACGACCACACAGGCGAGCCCTGCTTCTTAGCGTTCCCCCCCGGTGTAGGAAACTATTGTTTTAATCGTTCCCCCTTAATTGCCTCGTTCCTTATTTAGGGTTCCTTAGGTCAACGCCCCGACTGTATCCGCGATGCATTGCCGATTCCAGGGAGACGTGTTCTCCCCAGAGCTGGTCCCCTCCCAGAGTTCCCCGTCACTCTGGATGGGAGGGGGTGTACGTCGGGAGGAGTCGTGTGCTGCTCCGTGCCCCGCCACTTGAGGAGAGGGGGATCGGGAGGAGTTTTGGTTGCTCCGTCCTCGGCTCCCCCCGAGATCCCGGCACCCGCCGCAGTTTTTGCTTGCACGCCGGGCGTCTTCCATAAGTTTAACTTCGATTCCCCACAGGATACCGAAGGAAAGCCTACGACAAAGTGCAAAACAGTTCAGGAGCACTGAGCCCCTCCCCAACGAAACGATTTCCGTCTTCAGCGGCCCGAGGTTCTGGTCGTGATGTTTCAGGGTGTCTCGTGGCCCGGAGACTTTTCGGGGGAACTTGGGACCATCAAGAAACAGTTGCTTTCTCGTGGTCCATTGGCACGTTTCCCCCCGGGCCCCTGTGGGTTCTTGGCAAGCATCGAGCTCAGCGTGTCCTGCAAGGAGTTCAGAGGCCTGGGCACCAACAAGGTGCAGCAGTGGCTGTCAATGGAGTGCGACGTCGCGCTAAAGAAGAGTTTCAAGCAGAGGTCCTGGGGGCACGCCTTCGTGACCGTGTTTCGCAGCGACGCCCCTGGGTTCCGCGAGAAGGTTGACGGTCTCAAGTTTCAGGACTGCCCGGTCTCGGTGTCCGACAGTTTGTGGCCTAAGGTCCAGGCTCGACTAAACGCAAGAGTGACCTTTCGCCGGAGTGACCTTTGGTGCGGGCCCATGGGGTGCCCCGAACGCCGAAAACGATGCGATAGTAGCGTCCTGCGCGCTTGTGTTTGGTCCCCCCGCGGCCCCCAAAAAGCCGCGCACCAAAGGTCACTCTTACCCAGGGTCGCTCTTGCGTGTAACCGCCGGGCCTTCCAGACGGGGTCCGCGCAGATGGCGTCGGAGGATGGCGCCGCGGCTCCTCGTCGTCGAAGGTTGCTGGCAGCGCCTCCTCCTCGAGGAAGCGAGGAGTCGGGGCGTCGCTTCCTCGGCGGGCGTGAGAATCTGCCCTCCGAGCGATGACATATGTGGGAAGTTCATCAGGAGGGAAAAAAACACAGACACAATTAATCGTCGACTCCCCAGAAAATATGCAAGTAGTGTGGAAGACAAAAGCCCAGAACATATGGGAAACTATGGTGAATTCCTTTATTTGTGTCTATTTATTTGTGTGTCCCAGGGCCCCTTCAGTCCAGGACCACCCGCCATCTGGAGGCCGATTTTCCCCACGCCGACGTCACATATGTATCGCCGATGTCGCCGATGCATCGGCGGTGCGGCGAGATCCTCCGACCACCTAACTGCGCGGACCCCCTCTGGGAGGCCTCCACAAGGGCGGCGGCAAGAGAAAGGCTGGCGGGGACGCGACTCACGAGGACGCAAAGCGGCCAAAAGTCGCGGGCCCTGAGGGCGGACGGGTACCTCTGCTGAAGGAGCTGAGGGACCGGGCCAAGCAGCACAAGCGCTCCAGCGAGGGCGCTTCCATCGTTCAGAAGGCGGAGCCCCTCGTAGAGTACCCCTACGAGACGCAGCTCGCCATGAAGAACACCTTCGTGAAGACGTCGGTGCGCACGTTCACCAAGCTGGCGGCCAAGCGCTGCGAGGAGGTGGGCCGAGACCCCGCGGTGTGGCTCGGGCGCGACTGGTCCCTCGCCCTCAAGGCGCCCAGCGGCTGCTGCTGCCCCGTGGAGCCGCCGGTCGGAGCGCCGCCGGAGAGCATCGCGGGCTGGCGGAACAAGTGCGAGTTCACCATTCGGGCCGGACGTAAGGGGGGGATTGGGAAAGGGGGGTTACGAAATTTGCTGCATGCAGCTGGTTTCGGCCTCACGGAGGGGCCCATTCCTCGATACATAGCTACATAGCCGCCTCCGGCGCCGGGAGGCGCCAGGAAAATCAGCTACGCGAGCTGATTCTCAACCCCCCCTGGGCTATCCCGCCCTTTCGCCCGACCCGAACCATCGGCGTGAGCGAGGCAGACAAGGTAGAGGTTGGCTTCGTCCACTACATGCGAGCAGACGGCACGCAGGCTATAGCCGGCGTGGAAAACGTGCCGCTGGTGCCGCCGCGCATGCAGCGGCTGGCCGCCGCGGTGCGGGAGATGGCCGTGGCGTCCGGCTTCAAGGTGTACGACCGCCGCCAGGGCGCGAAGGTGGGGCTCTGGCGCATGGTGATGGTCCGCATGAACCCGAAGGGGGAGATGCTCGTGATGGTGCTCGGTGGTTCAGAGATGGGGTCCTGAGGGATGGAGTCCTAAGGGTAGGAAGGGATGCAGGGCACCTCGTCCATAGTCCATATGACCCCATCCCTCAGGCCCCCATCTTTGAAACACCGAGGTGCAGACCAGGACCCTGGGGCTCGAGGCTCAAGGTGTGCGGCCGTCTTTGCTGGTTCTCGGTGGCTTCCCAGCCTCGGCGTTCCCACCACCGTCCCAGCATCCCCACCGTTGTCTAACTGTCCCGAGGAGCGGGAATCGTTCGAGGGGGAGGATGGGTTCGAGCCGGCAGTGACCCCCCCCCCCGGTTTTCGGTGGGGGGGTGACGGGTTGGGAGCCCCCAGTGACCCCCCCCGGTTTTCCGTCAGCAGCGGTAGAACACGCTCTTTCGCCTGGGGGTCGGGTCTCGCCAAGGGGCCTCGCCGAGGGGGTGCCCAGCGCGTCCCGAGCGGCCGCCGAAGAGCTGAGTTATATGAGCCGAAAGCCACTGGGCAACGTGAGGCTCCAGGGGAGGAGGAGAAGGAGGAAGAGGAGGAGGAGGAGGAGGAGGAGGAGGAGGAGGACGAGGAGGAGGGGGGAGGGGAAGGGGGAGGGGAAGAAGGAGGGGGAGGGGGAGGAGGAGGAGGAGGAGGAGGAGGAGGAGGACGAGGAGGAGGACGAGGAGAAAAGGGAGGAGGAGGACGAGGAGGAGGAGGAGGAGGAGGAAGGGGGAGGGGGAGGGGGAGGGGGAGGGGGAGAAGGAGGGGGAGGGGGAGCGATCGTCCCGAACGACCGCATCGACACCAAATCGCCCATGGATCGCCGATGCAGGCCCGGTGGCCCATCCCGCCCAGCCCAGATCGATGCCGAATCGCTACTGGGGGCCTCTCGCCAGGTAGATGTACATACGTACGTACGTACGTACGTACGTACGTATATACGTACATACGCACACACGTACATACGTACACATGTACATACACACAACACCTACATACCTACATACATACATACATACATGCATGCATGCATACATACATACATACGTACATTCACACATACACACATACATGCATTCATGCATTCAGTCATACATTCATTCATACATACATACACACATACACACATACACACACATACATACATACATACATACATACATACATGCATGCATGCATGCATGCATGCATACATACATACATACATACATACATACATACATACATTCATATATATACACACATACATACATACATACATGCATACATACATACACACATACACACATACCTACATACATGCATGCATACATACATACACACATACATACGTACACACATACATACATACATACATGTATGCATGCATGCATACATACATACACACATACACACATACATACATACATACATGCATGCATGCATGCATGCATGCATGCATCCATACATACATACATACATACATACATACATACATATACATACATATACATACATACGTACATACATACATACACATGCATACACATGCATACACACACATACATACACATACATACACATACATACACATACATACACATACATGCATACATACGTACGTAATGCAGGATGACGGTTCATAAATGACCGGCGGTCGTTCTGCGCCGGCGGCGTCCAGGAGGATGATTAGAAGAAACACGCGGCGTGCGCCGTCCTCGGGCGCCCGGGCGTGCGCCGTCCTCGGGCGTGCGCACGGACGGCCGTCGACGTGGATTGTGTATCTGACGCAGCATGTGACCCCGACGTCAAAGGAGCACTAGACATACTGTCTGAAGCCGACGTGGAAGGAGTACTTGAGGGAACAGTTTGAAGCCGACGTAGAATTGGTATTTGACGTGAAATTTGAAGTCGACGTCGAATGACTATTTAACGTAATATGTGATGAAGACGTGAAATGAGTATTCGACGCAATATTCGAAGCCGACATGTAACAGACATACGTGTTAATCGTCCTCCTTCCGTTGAAAAGTCCTATAGAAAGCAAGGGAACTATTGTGTTATTAGTTCCCCCATATGTTGTGTTATGAATTGCACTCCTGCATTACATACATACATACATACATGTATGCCTGCGTACACGCATGCACGCATGCATGCATTCAGTCATGAATTCATACATACACACATGCATGCATACATGCATACATGCACGCTTGCATGCTCACACATGCACATACATACACATACAATCAACTATACATACAAGCAACCATACATCTCCATACGTACATACCTACATGTATGCATGCATGCATACATACATACATATCTACAATCACCTGCATACATCCACACATGCATACATATCTACATGCATGCATTCATACATACATGCATACGTACATACAATTACAAACATACATGCATGTATGCATGCATGCATACCTACACCCATACCCGAGTCGAGCTCGACGTGTCCCCTCCTGAGCTGCCCCCTCCCCGCCGAAGCTGCCTCCCGTCGCAGGACCGTGGAGGGAGAGGAGCGCAAGCGCGTGGAGGCAGTCCTGTGCGAGCACCTGCTCGACACCGATCTTGGCGTCGTGTCCGTCTACCTGCAGTTCAACGACGAGGTCACCGACGCCGCGCGGCCGGGCGCCGCCGTGAGCCTCGTCCGCGGCAGCCCCCGGCTGGAGATGCCCCTGTGCGGGCTGCGCATCGAGGTCGGGCCTGTCGGATCGTTAAGACGCCGGCGGCGAGTCGCCGCCCCGGCCCCTGCCTTCCGGGACGCGTCGGGGGCAACGATGGGGGGGATTGGCATAGGGGGGGCAAGGCGGAGGCGGAGGAGGGTGGGCATAGGGGGGGGAAGGCGGAGGCGGAGGAGGAGGCGGAGGCGGAGGAGCAGCAGGAGGAGCAGGAGGAGGAGGAGGCGGAGGAGGAGGAGGAGGAGGCGGAGGAGGAGGAGGAGGGCCGCGTCGGAGGGCCGCGTCGGAGGGCGTCGAGCTGGGAGGAAAATCCCGGAGAGGCCTCGCGCGGCGCGCAGTGACAGTATCATCTATAGTCCACGCGTCAGCCCCGCGGCGATGCTCCGGAGTCCGTCCGACGTAGATCCGACGTGATTCCGACGTAAATCCGACGTGGATCCGACGGAAAGGAGGGGAGGAGGAGGAGGAGGAGGAGGAGGAGGAGGAGGAGGAGGAGGAGGAGGAGGAGGAGGAGGAGGAGGAGGAGGAGGAGGAGGAAGGGGAGGAGGAGGAGGAGCAGGAGGAGGAGGAGGAAGGGGAGGGGGAGTCGGAGGAGGAGGAGGAGGAGGAGGAAGAGGAGGAGGCGGAGGAGGAGGAGGAGGAGGCGGCGGCGGAGGAGGGGTGGCTCACTCGGTCATGCATCCTCCCCCCAATCGCCCATTCATCGCCGATAGGGGCCCGATAGCCCCACCCCTCCCCCAGGAAAGTGCGGATTCATTCTCGGGGGCCTATCGCCGAGCTATCGACGATGTGTCGTCGATTCCAGGTCGATGCGCCCCCCCCGAGGCCTATCAGTCAATGCGCCCCTTCCGCACCACCAATATTTCGCCCTGCCTGCTCTCTCTCCTTGCGCGCGCTGTCTGCCTGCTGTACTGACTGACTACTTCTGCCCCCGCAGCTCTACTACTTTGGCTCTAGGGAAACGGCAAAGCAGCGAGCCTGGGGCGCGCGCGCGTGCGTCGGCTGGCGGGCCGGCCCCCTTTATTTTCAGTGCTACCTTAGTGTATGCTTGACGGCACGATCACTTCTTAACCAAGTCATGTGCGGAGCCCATTGACCATGATATACCATCGGAACAGATAGCAGGGATTCCGAATCTCCATGCAAAAGACTGGTCATCAGCCGAAGCGACGGCACAGCCGATCGCTTCGCAGAGCATGGGATCGCAAGAGAGAGCGTTTGGACGAAGAGAAGGTCGAAGACCTTCCGAGCGTAACGAAAGTTTAGGCGCCTCAGCGAGGCGACAAAATCCTCTCGACCCTCCCAGAAAATAAGCATCGGATGCCTTGTTTGACTTAGCAGAAGGTGATTCATTGGTCGATTTAGTGACAAGGTCCACATAGCAATCTTCGAGCGGAAGGTATGGCGCAGCCAAAACTTCCGCCGAGGGATCGTCTGAGTTGGTGTCGGTACACCCTGGCGTTCAACCATTCATCGACATAGATATTGAGATGGAACAGATGTTGGTCCGCATCCCCAATCGACATGTCGGGCGCCGACAGCCTAGGCGCAGAGCATGCGGTGCAGTATACGTTGCATGGACAAAGTGAGGATGTGAGTGCTTTACAATCTGAAGGGGATAACTCCGATCCGATTGAAAAATACGAAACATTTGCCCGATTCCACACTTCGCCTGGTCCGTCGCGTCATCTCGATCCTCTCCCTGACCGGCGTGTCGGTCTCGCCCCGGACCGTATAACGGTTGAGGCAAGTCAGACAGCCATCTTTGATGCGGACGATGCCCTCGAAGACGGAGGGCGCCCAGAACAAGGTGGATGCTCGTCGGCACAGCCGATGTCGAGCTACCCCGACGCAGTGCGCGCAGTGATAAATACGCGAGAACCTACAGGCATGACCCCCCATCCGCTGATGAAGAAACCGATGGGTGAGGACGATGACTTAATATCTCGCCCTTATTGCAAGGCTCTAACAGACCAGACTTCTCATTGCCAGGACAAATAGAGATAACGTACCAGAACTCGATGAGTTCGTAATACAGGACGGGGGAAAAAAAAAAATATATCTGCAGTCGGGACATTCGAGCTGCTTCATGGTTGGATCGACGAATTAGGATATGAAGTATCGGAGACCGTACGACGGAATTGCTCAGGTATCCAAGAGGCTATGGTTTCCATACACATGTTTACGGAGTCTCAATGTCGTGTCAAGATTCGTCTTGCCAACAACCTTTTTGGGTCCTTCAAGACCGATAGTGCCATTGGGATTACCAATTGTCTTAAACAGAAAAAGGAGGACAGTGGCCCAGCCAACTCCCCAACCGAGACAATCCCAGCCGTGTCGCCAGCAGATAGTGCAACCACAGCTGTTGAATGCAATTCCCTGAGCGGCACCGCCGCCCTGGGACAGCGAACTCAGCAATACTCTCGACCAGCATCGCGGCCGAGGTACCAGTATGGATGGCAGTCTTATCGGGCCGCCCCCTATGCACCTGCGTCTGCTGGCCCAGCCGCGTCAGGCATCAATACTGGCTGGATCGATAAGGACAGAATCCAGTCGTGGGCGGGCGAATCCTGGACTGATGAGCCCATCCCTGAAAGACTGGCTGTAGAGCCGGTTGGCGGCCGCGCGAGCGATGGCGGCGGCCCCGGGCCGGCCATGGACGGCGTCTACGACGCGACCGTCGACAACGAGGACAAGAACGAGAATGGAAAAATTCAAGCATACTCTGTACATGTATCCCGGCATCAGCGAGTCACCGGTCATCAGACGAGTACAATGACAAGTTCCAGCGTGACTCTGGGATGCCAAGTACGATGCCACAGCCTCCACCGCCGCCGACACCGAATGCGAGACCGCCGGAGAAGGGCCAGGGCAAGAGTGAGTCAAGTGGCTGGAGCTCGAGCAGAAGAGAGGACAACTCCTCCAGGAATCAGAACCAGTGGCGCTGGAGCAACAGCGATCCCTGGGACGACCCTCGTGAATGGAGAGGTCGCTGGAGAAGGTGATGCAGCGCAATGGAACCAGTGCGACAAAGCCGATGCTGGTTCGCACTGCTTCGTGGAGCGGGTGCACCAGGTGTGCACGGGCATTGGCCTGAGTTGGAAATGTTAGCTCCAGCGGGGAACGTCGGCCCCTGGCAACCACCACTGAACGGTAAAATGCCTTTGGGGTTCGCTCCAGTGGCCGTGCATATGTACAGGCCAGGTGGGTTGGGGGGTCGGGGCGGCTGTACGGACCCCGCCGCGGGGGGAGTCAATGCACCCCTTCCGCGCCACCAGTATTTCGCCCTGCCTGCTCTCTCTCCTTGCGCGCGTTGTCTGCCTGCTGTACGGCGCGCGCGCGTGCGTCGGTCGGCGGGCCAGCTTTTTCCGTCCGGTTTTACCTTAGTGTATGCTTGTCAACATTTTCTCTTCTTACCCATGTCATCTGCGGATTTCTGACCATGATATATCATCAGAACATCTTGCAGGGATTATGAATATCCAGGCAAACGGCTCTATCCCCCCCATTCGTTGCCCTCAACACGCCTGCGCGGCCAAACGTTTGGGCAAAGTTTGAGCACGGTATTGGGCCCTGCGTTCCCCAAACCGTTGTGAAAACTCTAATAGGGGAACACGCGGGAAGGAGGAGGGAGAGGAACATGGGGCTGCGGTGTTCCCGGCCCGTCTGGCGCCGTCGGAAGCCGTCTTGGATGCCTCTTTGAAAGGACTGGGGCCCTCCCTGGGGAGCAACAGGGCCGTCAAGGAGGCCATCTTGGGCATTTTTGGGTTTGTTGTTTGCCTGTCTCGGGGCAGTCTTGGAGGTTTCTTGCGCCGTCATGAGGTCATCTTGGGGGCCTCGGGGGCCATTTTGGGCCGACCTGCGGGGCCTGTGGCGTTGTCTCGGGCCGCTTGAAGGCCGGAAAGAAGCAAATGTCGAAGCTCGTCGGCCACCTGAGGAGATCCATGATTTTGACATCTTCGAGCCTTGTTGGAAGACCTGTTGGAGGCCTCTTGGGCCATATTCGGGGCCTCTAGGGTGCTTCTGGGGCCGTCTTGGGCCATCTAAGACCATCTTGGACCATTTTGGCGGTTTGGGAGACATTTTGGGCTCCGTCTTGGAGGCGATCTTGGGGCTATCTTGGGCTCTCTTGGGGCCATCTTGGCTTTCTTGGGGGGCATCTCGGCCATCAAGGAGGCCATCTCGTGGCCGTGCGCGCTGGGCACCCCTGTGCCAAGCCAGCACGGGCGGATCGAAGACCCTGCGGCGAATCACCGCCGCCCCCCTGCCTTTTGTGGAAGCGCCTATGTGGCCGAACATTGGGTTTGAGCTTGGCCGAACTATCGGACCATGTGTTCCCCGAGTTTGTTTGGAACGCCTTCGGGGAACACGTGGTCAAGGAAGAGAAGGATAATCAGGAAAAAGAAAAGCGGGGGAATATGCCCCTTCGAAGCCTCTTGAGGCACTCTTGGGCTCGATTGAGCCATCTTGGTACCGTTTTGGAGGCCATGTTCGTGCTATCTTGGACTCTCTTAGAGCCTCTTGAGGGCCTCTTGGGGCCCGCTGGGGGCTTCTCAGGGGCCTCTTTGGCGTTCTTAGGGTGTTCCTGACCCATATTGGAGGATTTTTGTTTCCGGATTGAGCTCTTTGAGATCCTTTCCGGGTGGCCGGCGGGACGGGCCGAAACCCCAGGGGGACTTCTCTTGGACAAAGAACCAAAGCTAAAACCGAGAGGATTCGGCACGCCAGGCACCCCTGCAATGAATCGACAAAGGGCGGCGGATCGAAGACGCCTACGGCGAATCACCGCCGCCCCCTGCCTTTTTGGAAGCGCCTATGTGGCCGAACGTTGTGGCGAGACCTGCCAAGCTATCGGACCATGTGTTCCCCGAGTCGGTTTGGAAAGCCTTCGGGGAACACGTGGGCATCTTGAAGGTCATCTTGGTCGTCTTGTCTGGGGGCCATTTCGGGCCTTTTTGGAGGACGTTTTGGAGGGCTCTTGGGCCGTCTTGGAGACCACCTTGAGCGTCTTGGAGACCTCTTGGGCCGTCTGGGGGGCCTCTTGGGGCCGTCTTGGTGGCCTCTTGGGCCGTCTTTTGGGCCTCTTAAATGCCACAATCCTTCAACAAAATCAGGGAAATCAATGATTTTGGAGTTTTCGGGCCTTCCTGGAGGCCCTCTTAGAGGCCTCTTGGGCCATCTTAAGGCCATCTTCGGCCGTCTTGGTGGGCCCTTGGCCCGTCCGACGCCGTCGGAAGCCGTTTGGGGGGCCTCTCTGAGCCGACTTGGGGCCCTCGTGGAATGCTCCAGGGCCGTCTTGGAGGCCATCTTGGGCGTCTTACAAGCCTCCTGGGCCGTCTTGTGGGCCGTCTTGGGGCCGTCTTGGGTGCCTCTTCTCAGGTCTCTTGGGCGGATCTTTGGGCGATCTTAGGGGGCTCTTGGGCCGTATCGGGCCGTCGGAAGGCCGAAACGAAGCACTTGTCAACATCCTTCAACAACCTACGGCAAATCACTGTTTTGGGCTTTTTCTGGCCTTCCTGGAGGCCCTTTCGGATGCCTCTTGGGCCGTCTTGGGCCAGCTTCGAGCCAATTTTGGCCATCTTGGTGGGCTCCTGGCCCGTCTGACGCCGTCGGAAGCCGTTTGGGGGGCCTCTCTGGGCCGACTTGGGGCCCTCTTGGGGTGCTCCAGGGCCGTCTTGAAGGCCATCTTGGGCGTCTAGGAGGCCTCTTCGGTCGTCTTTGTGCCCTCTTGGGGCCGTCTTGGGGGCCTCTTGGGCAGTCTTGGGGCCATCTTCGAGGCCTCTTGGGCGCTGTAGGGGCGATCTTTGGGGCCACTTGGGCCGTCTTGGGTTGTCGGAAAGCCGATAAGAAGCGAATGCCAACATCCTTCAAACATTTACGTAACATCAATGATTTTGGCCTCTTCGGGCCCTCCTGGAGGACCTCTTGAGGCCTCTTAGGCCGTCTTGGAGGCCTCTGGGTGGCCTTTTGGGCCGTCTTGGGCCGTTTTGGACTCTCTTGGGCCGTCTTGGAGGCAGTATTGGACAATGTTGGGCGAACTTGGATGCCATCTTGGACCATTTTGGAGGCCATCTTGGGCCAACTTAGCCATCTTGAGCCATCAGGGGGCGGCGGATCGAAGACGCCTACGGCGAATCACCGCCGCCCCCTGCCTTTTTTTTGGAAGCGCCTATGTGGCCGAACGTTGAGGCGAGACCTGCCAAGCTATCGGACCATGTGTTCCCCGAATCGGTTTCGAAAGCCTTCGGGGAACACGTGGGCATCTTGAAGGTCATCTTGGCCGTCTGGAGGCCATTTTGACTCTTTCGGGCCTTCTTGGAGGACGTCTTGGAGGGCTCTCGGGCCGTCTTGGAGGCCATCTTGAGCGTCTTGGAGATCTCTTGGGCCGTCCTGGGGGCCTCTTGGGGCCGTCTTGGGCCTCTTGGGCGATCTTTGGGGGCACTTGGGCAGTCTCGGGCCGTCGTCAGGCAGACAGAAAGCAAGTGCCACAATCCTTCAACAAAATCAGGGAACTCAATGATGTTGGCCCATTCGGGCCTTCCTGGAGGCCCTCTTGGAGGCCTCTTGGGCCGTCTTGGGCCAGCTTCGAGCCAACTTCGACCATCTTGGTGGGTTCCTGGTCCGTCTGACGCCGTCGGAAGCCGTTTGGGGGGCCTCTATGGGCCGACTTGGGGTCCTCTTGGAATGCTCCAGGGCCGTTTTGGAGGCCATCTTGGGCGTCTTAGAGGCATCCTGTGCCGTCTTGGGGGCCTCTTGGGGCTCTCTTTCGGGCCCTCTTGGGCCGTTCTGGGGCCATCTTGGCGGCCTCTTGGGAGATCTTTCGGTGATCTTTGGGGGCTCTTGGGCCGTCTCGGGCCGTCGGAAGGCCGAAAAGAAGCACATGTCAACATCCTTGAAAAACTTATGGAACAACAATGTTTTTGGCCTCTTCTGGCCTTCCTGGAGGCCCTCTTGGGGGCCTCTTTGGCCAGCTTCGAGCCAACTTCGGCCATCTTGGTGGGTTCCTGGCACGTTTGACGCCGTCGGGAGCCGTCTTGGGGGCATTTCTGGGCAGACTCGGGGCCCTCTTGGGGCGCTTCGGGGCTGTCTTGGAGGCCATCTTGGCCGTCTTGGAGGCCATATTGGGCGTGTTGGAGGCCTCTTGGGGCCGTCTTGGGGCCCTCTTGGGGCCGTCTTGGAGGCCGCTTGGGCCGTCATGGGGCCCTCTTGGGGGCCTCTTGGGCGATCTTGGGGGCCTCTTGGGCCGTCTTGAGCCGTCGGAATGCTGAGAAGAAGCACATGCCAAAATCCTTCAAACACTTACGTAAAATCAATAATTGTGGCCTCTTCGGGCCCTCCTGGAGGACCTCTTGGAGGCCTCTTGGGTCGTCTTGGGCCGTCTTGGAGGTTTCTTGGGCGGCCTAAGAGGTATATTGGAATCTCGTGGGCGGTCTTGGAGGCCGTCTTGGACCATCTTGGGCGGACTTGGAGGCCATGTTGGAGGCCATCTTGGAGGCCATCTTGGAGGATTTTGGGCCAACGTGGCAATCTTGGAGGCCATCTTGAACCATCTTTGAGGATTTGTTTTCCGGATTGAGCTCTTTGAGATCCTTTCCGGGTGGCCGGCGGGACGGGCCGAAGCCCCAGGGGGAGTTCTTTTGCCAAAACTGAGAGGATTCGGCACGCGAGGCACCCCTGCGATGAATCGACAGGGGGCGGCGGATCGAAGACGCCTACGGCGAATCACCGCCGCCCCTGCCTTTTTGGAAGCGCCTATGTGGCCGAACGTTGAGGCCAGACCTGCCAAGCTATCGGACCATCTGTTCCCCGAATCGGTTTGGAAAGCCTTCGGGGAACACATGGGCATCTTGAAGGTCATCTTGGTCGTCTGGATGCCATTTTGACCATTTCGGGCCTTCTTGGAGGACGTCTTGGAGGGCTCTTGGGCCGTCTTGGAGGCCATCTTGAGCGTCTTGGAGACCTCTTGGGCCGTCCTGGGGGCCTCTTGGGGCTTTGCTTGGGCCTCTTGGGCGATCTTTGGGGGCTCTTGGGCCGTCTCGGGCTGTCGGAAGGCAGAAAAAAGCAAGTGCCAAAATCCTTCAAAATCCAATGGGGAATCAAGGATTGTGGCCTTTTCGGGCCTTCCTGGAGGCCCTCTTGGAGGAATCTTCGGCCGTCTTGGGCCATCTTTGGGCCATGTTCGGCCGTCTTGGTGGGCTCCTGGTCCGTCGGAAGCCGTTGGGGGGCCTCTATGGGCCGACTTGGGGCCCTCTTGGAATGCTCCAGGGCCGTCTTACAAGCCTCCTGTGCCGTCTTGGAGGCCTCTTGGGGCCGTCTTGGGGCCCTCTTGGGCAGTCACGGGGCCATCTTGGCGGCCTCTTGGGCGATCTTTCGGCGATCTTTGGGGGCACTTGGGCCGTCTCCGCCCGTCGGAAGGCCGAACAGAAGCAAATGTCAAAATCTGGCAAAAACCAAAGGAAAACCAATGTTGTTGGCCTCTTCTGGCCTTCCTGGAGGCCCTCTTGGGGGCCTCTTGGGCCGTCTTGGGCCAGCTTCGGGCCAACTTCGGCCATCTTGGTGGGTTCCTGGCACGTCTGACGCCGTCGGGAGCCGTCTTGGGGGCCTTTCTGGGCCGACTTGGGGCCCTCTTGGGGCGCTTCGGGGCCGTCTTGGAGGCCATCTTGGCCGTCTTGAAGGCCATTTTGGCCGTCTTGGAGGCCATCTTGGCCGTCTTGGAGGCCATCTTGGGCCGTCTTGGGGCCCTCTTGGGGCCGTCTTGGAGGCCTCTTGGGCCGTCACGGGGCCCTATTGGAGGCCTATTGGGCGATATTGTGGCGATCTTGGGGGTCTCTTGGGCCGTCTGGGGCCGTCGGAATGCCGAGAAGAAGCAAATGCCAAAATCCTTCAAAAACTTAAGGAAAATCAATTGTTCAGGCCTCTTCGGGCCTTCCTGGAGGACCTCTTGGAGGCCTCTTGGGCCCTCTTGGGGGCCTCTTGGGCCATCTTGGACCATCTTCAGGCTATCTTAGGCCGTCTAGGGTACATTTTTGGGCCGTCTTGGAGCCATCTTGAAGCCATCTGAGCTGTCTTGGAGGCCATCTTGGCCGTCTTGGAGGCATCTTGGCCGTCTTGGAGGCCATCTTGGAGCCGTCTGTAGCAGGAGAAACCTTGGCAACCGGGTTTTCGGCCATCTCCTGGGACCCCGGCGCGACGGGCCGAAGCCCCAGGGGGAGTTCTTTTGGAAAAAGAGCCCAAACCAAAACCCATATAGTCTGGCACGCCGGGCACCCCTTTGATAAATCAAAAGGGGGTGGCGGACCTAGTGGCCTTCGGCCCATGCGTGGGTTGTGGGGCCCTCCTGGCTCCGAAGGAGTCCAGCGACGAGCCGCGCCGCGCCAAGCCAAGCCCTGGGAGAGTTGGTAAGAAGGGCTCCAGGCCCCTGAAAGGCTCCTCGGGAGTATAAGGATTGAGGGTTAAAAAATTGGGCAGTGGACCTGAGGGCACGCCCACTCCACGCCCAGCGGCACGTGGCGGATTTCGATTCGATCGGTCTGGTTCGACGGCGAGTTCACTAAGTTCGCCAGGCTCGAAACGATCCGATTTCGATTCCCTGGCGATCCAGTGCGGCTCGGTGCTTGCACAGCGTAGTTGTGTTGTGTCTGGGCACAGCAGATCCTATTCGATGTCGACCCCGTGCCGATGCAGCCCGATCCGACGCACATTCCGATCTCTTCCGATTTCCCGATTCGATAACAGACTGATCACAGAGGTCGGGCCCCTCTCGTTCTTCAACCCGAACACCACCACCTGCAAGTCTCTGATGGAGAAGGCGGTGGAGTACCTGAGCCTCCAGAAGACCGACGTCCTCCTGGACATATTCTCCGGAGTCGGCACGATCGGTCTCTGCGCAGCCGCGCACTGCGCCAGGGTCATCGGTGTCGAGATTGTTGAGGAGGCGGTGGAGAATGCGAGGGCAAACGCCGCCTTGAACGGCATCGACAACGCCGAGTTTCACGTCGGGAAGGCCGAGGACCTGGTCCCCAAGATAGTGGGCGACCTCGACCCGGAGCTCGATGTGTGCGCGGTGGTGGACCCGTCCAGGGCTGGCCTGCACCCCAGGGTCGTCAACGCATTGCGGAGTCGGCGGCAGGCCTCGCGCATAGTTGGCATCATGTGCCGCCATCCAGATCGCCTCCCCTCCTGGCTTACGTCCAATGGCATCGGCTGGCGATCTGGCGACGTGCGCTGGGTTTGGCCAATGAGCGAGATCGTTCTCCAGATGCGGGGGTCGTCGCCGGCTCCCGAGCACTGCGCACGAGTATGGGGATCGTTTCGATTGCCTCCCAGGCCGTTATTCCATTTTGCGCCTGAGTGTTGGCGAGAACAAATTGTGTGTTCCGTGCGAAGGTTTCTCATGAGCGTTACTTGCTTGCCTCGTGTGGTGGTTGACACCGGATATGACAGTTTGCTTTATGGTGTCGCACGGGCGTTGTGGATGAGTGTTGTTCGTTTGTTCGTGTATTGTGCATGTGTGTTGCTTCCATGTTGTGTGCTTGCTCCGCATGGGCCTTCCTGTGGGTTATTCGCTTGCTGGTCAGCGTGCCTGATTGCGGGGCGGGTCTACGTCCGGGTTGTTTCCCAACATGCGTGCATAAATCAGTTCGCACACAGTTCCGACATCGTGGAATCTTGATTGCATGGTTGCTGACGGGATGTGTTTTGTCCTTTCTTTATCAGTCGTTGTTGCTTGATTCGCATTCATCTCTACGTTCCTGTCGCATTTGAAGCAAGTCGCGCGGGGTCGTCTGTGAGTTGCTTACTGCTTGCTTGGGTTGATGTAAGCGTGACACGTTGCCAGCGTGCCTGCGATCGTTGTTTCTCTGTCTCCACCTTCGTTTTCAGTGTTGTTCAACGGGCGTGCCGCGCCGGGTAGATTAGATGAGAGTTTCGCCCATCGCGTGAGATATTTTGGTAGTCGTAAAGCGACCCAAGGCGATTCGCTGGTGTCCTATCCTGGAGTCTGCTTGTGGGCACGCTGAGCGTGTCGCATGCGAACGTGGCATTAGTGGGACGAGGATACACACACCATTTACAATCGGTCTCATGGCCCTGCAGATGCAGACGCCTGCCAACTTGATCACATGCTGCGAGTCAGCGAAGACGTGCCAGGCAGATTTGCGCGCGGCGCTAAAGGCGAGAGTTCAATGTTGAAAAGCCCCCCCCCCACACACCATCCGTGTAATCAACTGTTGCAAGCTTGTGTGACGAAGTTGCGCGGCGCAACGGCCAGAGCCGTTGAAAACCACCATCCAGCACCGTGGTTGTTGCAAGCTTCTTACGTCAACACGAGTTCGCGCGGCGCTGATGTGAGAGCTCCATATTGGAACCCGCCTGCCTTCCATCCCCGTAACCGCTGCAGCATTGTAAGACTCATGTTCGCGGCGCTCAGGCGAGATCCTCTTTCTGGAAACGTGTTACGACGAATGTGCGCGGCATTAGAACGAGAGGCACATTTGAAAACAGCCGAAGCCCCGTCCTTGCAACTGTTTCGAATGGATGGTTCATGGGAGTAAGCAGTTCAGAAACCTTCGGCGAAGCGCTAGGCCCGCCCTCATTATCGACACGCCGCGGGGGGGCGACGCGGAGGAGCCCTCCGTGAGGAGCAGAGGGATGCGGGAAGAGATCGAGTCGGAGGCGGCGGCGGCGGTGGAGCTCCGCCGTGGCTAAAGCCAGATTGCCGCAGGAGGAGATCTGGCCCATCGCGCCAGCGAGTTTGTCGTTCGCCTGCTTCTGGCGCACGCCCGCATCGCTAAACGGCAATGCACGTGAGAGTCGTCTCAGAAGGTTTCGTCCTCCTGGCGCGGGCACGGGAGTAGAGGCGAAGAGCCGCGACAGGCGGACAGCACTCGCGAACATGCGCCCACTGGCGGAGCACTAGCGAGCATCCTCCAGGTCCGCTGGGCAGCTGGTAGAGGCGGGTCCCGCTGGGAAGAGCTGCGAGAAGGAGTTGAGGAGGGCGAGCTTCCATGAGGAGGAGCAGGGCAAGGAGGAGGACGAGGAGGAAGACGGCGGAGGATGAGTCTGGTCGACATCTCCTGCGAAAGGACTGCTATACCCTGGGCACAGTTGGCAGGAGGGGTTGTCCGGGAGGGTTGGCCAGAGGGCTGCTTGGGTTTAGCCAGGGGGGCCACAGCGGAGACCCATGCCAAGAAACGCCCTGCTTGCCTCCAGGGTGCCTTGGGTTTTTTGGGTACTCCAGATTTCGTCATGAAGGGATGGGTGTCTCATTTCGGGGGGGGGTCTCTTCCAGGCTATCTTGGAGGGCCTGGGGGGGTCTGGGGACGATGTTTGGAGGGTTCTCCCACGGGGGAGGTCTGAAATGGCTTGTCTTGGAGGGTCCAGACCCCCTCCCTTTTATTACGAAATCTGGGGTGTCGATGGTTTTGAAATGGAAAGCGTGACGTTCCCACGCCAAGCATCGATGGGCGTCATGGGGTCACAGGGTTGGGTTTCTTGGTGGAAGTTTTCTTGATGTCGGGCCCCTACTGTTATGATGTTCCAACCTACTATATAGCCTTGATCACCAGAGTGAATTTCGAGCACCAAGGGAACACCCCAAACATCGAGGGTTTTCACGTGTCGGGCCCTGGGAGACCCTTTCGACACGGTTTCAATACTCTTTCCACAGTCTTTCGACACTTTTCTGGGTGCTCGAAATTATTTCTGGGATGCGGTCCTTAAGTAGGATGGGAGCAACATGACCCTACTGTAGTCGGGACAGGTCTTCGGTAGGTATTTGTTCACATGACACACTCCACTCACGGGGGCATCCAGGGACAGGGCCGGCGGGGGCACATGTTGCTTGACCGGGCCAGTCCTCTGGCTGGGTATGCATGCGCGTGTGTATTTAATATTTAAGTGTACACGCTGGTCGTTGAAAGTAGGTGTTTTTGGACTCGCACATTCCACTCTACTTCAAGCGCCTTCCTACTTCAAGAATCGAGACGCTTTTGCTGTGTTTTGTTATTCCCTGGGGGGGCTGGACCCAATCAACTTAATCCGCCTTCCTACTTAATGTTTTTACCTACTTCTCACCGACGTGTACGTTCTCGCCCAATGGTAGTCGGCGCAAGGTATCCAGAGTCAATCTCTTTAGATCGGACATCAACATCTTTCTATAACCAATGCAAGGAAGGCAACATCCTGGTGAGGCTTTTCCAAGGGTGTGTCTGGGGGGATCCGGATCTTTGCAGGGTCGTCCAAGGGGTCGTCCGGGCCGCGTTGTCTTGCCAGTAAGTGCACATGTCATTGTCAGACATACCATCAAAAGCATTGCACAACCAGGGACGCCCAGCTGGAGTGTCGTATCTCTTTCCCCCTTCCCCTCCTGTCATCTCGTCTCTCGCGTCCCCCTTCCTCTCCCATTCGCGCGCCCTGCTGTATCGCGCTTCCCCAAAGCTGTGCTGACTGGGGCCCTGTTGCGGTAGAAGCTAGTTCTGGCCAACATCAAGAGTGGTCCGGCCAGTTTCGCCAGCGACGCCCTCGCAACGTTGGGTCTGGAGATGCCCTGAACTGAGGTGGTCTGGCCATTTTGGCTTGACAAATTCGGTGGATTCTGGGCTCGGATATGTCGGCGTCCCCGCATCTCCAGGACCGGGGATGCAGCGCGCGAGGTGGTCCAGCCAGTTTCGCCAGAGACATCTGCGCTCGGAGATGCAGCGCGCGAGGTGGTCCAGCCAGTTTCACCAGAGACATTCTCACAACTCTGGGTTCAGAGATGCCGCGTAACATGTTATGGCCAGTTTCGCCTGAAACAGCCTTGCAACTCTAGGCTCAAAGATGGATGCTTGCGTGTGTGGTGGTTTCTCTTATGCACACATTGCAGGCCGTAACTTCGCGACGAGGCTAAGCTGTACGACAGTTCGTACATGTTCGATGTGACTACACGGCCTGGTGTTGGATTCCAGCACGTCGGCGTCGAAGGATCTCGACACGTAACTTGCATACACACGGGCTGGGTCGGGTTGCTAACTTGAGCGTGCACAGGGGGCGCCCGCTTTCTGAAGCCACGGCGCGCGGGGGACGCCGCTTCCCCAGACCACGGCAGCAAAGCCTTCCTCCGCCGCCATGGGGGGGACGCGTCAGCAACGGCAGGCGGCCCCTGAGCCAACCTTGCCCGCATGCAAGGCGGCTAGTGACTTGCGTGGGACTCGTGTGCCGCCGGGAATCGAGCCCGGGCCTTCCGCGTGACAGGCGGAAGTACAACTATGCTGCGGCGGATCCTGCAGAAGCCATGCTGGCGCGGCCAAATGCGGGCCGGCAGCGCTCAACCGCGGAGCTGGCCAGTCCTAGATGCCAGGGGCTCGTCTACTGCTCCGCGCGGTCCCAGGTGCCAGTCCTGGATGGGCAGTCCTAGATGCCAGTCCCAGATGCCAGTCCCACATGCCAGTCCCAGATGCCGGGGGCTTGTTTACTGCTGCTGGAGGAGGAGGAGGAGAATAAGAAAAAGAAGCAGAAGGAGAAGAAGAAGAGGAGGTGGAGGAGGAGGAGGAGGAGGACTTCTCGCGCGCGAGCGAGGGCCCAGCGCTGAAGATGGTGGCGCGGAGGGCATGGGAGCCGGCTCGGGGCCGGAGGTGGCCCAGCAGCCTCTGGCCAGCATTAAGTCGGGCGTGCCCCCCTACAGGGGGATTTTCGACGAAAACTAAAGAATACCCAAAACATATTACAAACATGCTCTAAAAATAGTCTGGGGACTTTTTTTCTGGTATTGTGTTTCCTTTCTGGAATATGTTCTTGTATTTTTTATTTTTCGTCGAAGATCCCCCTGTAGGGGGACACGCCCGACATAAGGCCAGCATCAGGGGGAAGGGGTTTGAGCGTCTGGGTTTGAGAGCGGTGCCTGCCTCCCTCGGTCTCTGCTGGGTGCCGCTGTCGGGCCCCAGGGCCGCCGACGACGGGTCTGGGGGGAACAACTGCATCACACATGGGCCCCGGGGAGCCCAGGAGGGTCCGGGGGCCTTCGGGGGCGGCAAAGAGAGGGGTGATGACTGGGGGGGGGTGGTGGATATCATGGCGGGGGCCATGAGATCTCCCCAGATTTCATTGCGCCTTTTCTTATTTCATTCCGTCCCTGGCCCCCCCCGCTGGGCCGCGCACATGCCGCCGGTCATGATTTGCACCCCCCCCCTCTTGGACACCCCCCTCTTGGCCGCTCCCGAGACCTATTTCGAGCGGATTTGGCCTCGTCCTTTTCTTTGTCGATTTCGTGGGGCCCCATCCAGATCTGACCCCCCGTCCGACCCCAGGGCTCGTGTGCCTTCGAGGATCTTCGGTGTGGTCACTCCTTGACTGTCCTCATCATCTGAGCCTTCATCTCACTCCTTCATTCTCCTCCTGCTTCCTCCGTCCTCCCGTCCTCCTCCTCCTCCTCTCCCTGATTTCTGAGGTCTCGCGCATAGTCTACATCAGCTGCAACCCAGAGAGCCTCGCAGAGGACGTTGCGAAGATGGGCGTGTCCACCGATGGAGAGGAGGACGGTCTCGGGGAAGATGAGGCAGGAGGAAAGACAAAAAGAAGCAGGAGAAGGAGGAGGAGGAGGGGCGTGAGGCGGGAGGTAGCCTGAGGCTGGGAGATTTACTTGTTTACGCTTCGCGAATCCCCACCAGCCCATTCAGAAGCCCTGCCCATGAGAGCCGACGGGGAAAGGTACGAAGAGACACATCTAGTGAAACAGAGCGTGCAAGGAGAGGAGAGGAAGGAGGGTGTTGAGCCATCTTGGAGGCAGTCTTGGAGCATCGGAGGCCTTCTTGGATCTGCGGGGTTGTATTGGGGGATGTTTGGGTCCTCTTGAAGCTCTTTTGGAGCATCTTGGCGCCCTCTTGGGGCTCACTGGGGGGTCTTGGGGTCCTGTTGGGGCTCTTTGGGGGCGTCTCGGGGCCCTCCTGGGGCCCTCTTGGTCTCTCCTGGGCTCTCCTGGGCTCTGAGCTACGGAGCGCCTCCTGTGGCCATCTTGGAGACCATCGATCAAGGGAGGGGTGTCCTCGATTTCCCTCCCCCCTCCGGGGCCATCAACATAGCCTCTTGGGGCGCGCTCGGGGCCCTCTTGGAGCGATCTTGGGCGCGCTTGGGGCAGTCTTGGGGCCTTCTTGGTGCTCGCTTGGGACTCTCTTCGGGGCCTCTTTGAACGCCCTGGAGGGCCTCTTGGGGCCATCTCTGAAGCCATCGATCAAAAGGGGGGGTCCTACATGTAGCCCCCCCAGGAGCCCTCGGAATCACCTCGTGGGGCGGTCTTGGGGCCGTCTTGAGAGCCTCTTGGGCCCATCTTGGAGCTCTCTTGGGCCATCTGAGGGCCATCATGAGGCCTCAAAAGCGCATCAGAAGCCAAAAGGCGAGAAGCCACAACCATTGATGATTCCAAGGTTTTCGAAGGATTTTGGCGTCTCGGGGAGGTCCTGAGGGGTCTCCACAAGCACCTGGATCCGTCCGGGGCCTCTTGGAGGCATGTTGTTAGCTGTATTGAGCTATGTTGGGCTATCTTGAGCGATCTTAGATGCCATCTTGGGCTCTCTGAGGCCCTCTTGAAGCCATCTTGGGCCGTCTTCGGCGCTCTGACACCTCCGTCCCCTTCCCGTCCAGGTCCAGGGGAGGGGGAGGGGTCAACCTACCCACCCGCCTGCAAGCCGTCTAGCTCACTCCCACTCGCCCTCCCAACACATAAGTAACACCCGAGCCTGAGCATGTTCAGCGGTCGTCTTTGGATGGGCAGCTATTGGGAACCAAAGCCGACCCCAGGTGCGCGACGCTTGGGCGAGGTGCGCCACGCGTGCCAGGGGCGCCACGCGCGCCAGGCACCCCTAGGGCCCGAGCGTGCCAGGCACGCCTGGTGCGCTGGATGCGTCACGTGCTCCGAGTGCGCCAGGTGTGCCGCACACTCCAGCTGCGCCAGGTGCGCCACGTTCGGGACCAGGCCACGCGGCACCACCCCCGCCGTCCCTGTCAAAAACCACTTGACAGTGTTCGCGGGATGGCCGCGCATGGTGCAGATTTAGCCGCGAGTTGCATGTTGTATGGTGTATTGTCAGGAAGTCTAGCTCTGCGCGCAGCAGGGATTATGCTGACACCCCCGCCGTCCCTGTCGAAAACAATACAAAGTGCTCGCGGGCCGCACGAAGACCGTGTATTTTGCATTTTCTGTTGACAGGGATGGTTAGGGGGGCAGCATCTGGTAGGCCGCGCAGGCTCCAAGTTTGGAGGGAGAGTGCGGTTTGTATTGTTTCTGTTGACAGGGATGGTATGGGGCGGGCCCGCATGGGGTCGGCATGGTTCTGGGTTGGCCGCCAGCCAGGTGGGAGAGGGGGTGTATATTAATATGGTTGGAAGAGGGAAACGGAGCTGTTGGAAGAGGGAAGAGAGATATGGTTAGGCCATCTTCGCCCAGAGGGCTGGTGGATGAAACACTGGCGTTGGTAGATCCGTTGTCGCCAACCCGCCTCATCAAGCAGAATCCCGCTTCAGGTTGCCAAGTTGCGCCAAGTCCGGCTCAATCGTGGGCGAATCCCCACTTGATTTGGTTTATAGCCTTTAAGTTGTTTTTGCGAAGACCTCTCAGAATGTGACTCCGAAGCATGTTGCCTTGGGTTTGCAGGGACGAGGTGGGCAGTGGAAAGCTAGGGCTGATGGCGGCGGGCCAGAACTCAGCGCACCGCCACAAGGCGCTGCCTCAGCTGCCAGTGAACTAGCACAGGGGAACGGAGCCGAGTACTGAATCCTCCGAGGATGATCTCGTTCCCGTGTCCGCCGTGGCGGTGGACTCGTTCCCGCAGACCTTGCACGTGGAGATGATCCTCAAACAGGACGCCCGCATCGCTGGGGTGGCGGAACGGTAGGCACGAGAGGGCGTTTTTTTTTGGGGGGGAGGGCACAGAAGAGGGGGAACCCTCTCCTCTCCGCTTGCGCGCTCCCCCGCCCCACCCTCCCCCTGCTGCCCCTTCCTGCCCCCATTGCCCCTCCCGATATCACACGGACGCGGGCCTTGGCCGATTGGGCCCGTGTCCCCCTTGGACCTTTGCCGACACGATTTTTTTGTTTTGTGTGTGTGTGTGTGTGCGTGTGTGTGTGTGTGTGTGTGTGGGTGTGTGCGTGTGCGTGTGCGTGTGCGTGTGCGTGTGCGTGTGCGTGTGCGTGTGTGTGTGTGTGTGTGCGTGCGTGCGTGCGTGCGTGCGTGCGTGCGTGCGTGCGTGCGTGCGTGCGTGCGTGCGTGCGTGCGTGTGTGTGTGCGTGCGTGCGTGCGTGCGTGCGTGCGTGCGCGTGTGTGTGTGCGTGTGTGTGTGTGTGTGTGTGTGTGTGTGTGTGTGTGTGTGTGTGTGTGTGTGTG